ATTAGATTTCTATTTCGTTTTTGGTAAAAGACCACAAGCTATTTCCTCTGCCAGCGCTAGATTCAAGCATGTGTTTTGGTTGTATTTACCCACAATGCCCTGAAATACAGTCTGCCTCCTGCCTTTTGAGCGGTCTCTGATCTGTTTGCATCCACATCACGCATCCGAACCGCACCAGGAAACTGAACAGAGACCTTGAGTTTGTTTTTTTGTTTTTGTTTTTTTTTGGTCTGCATCAGAGTTGCTTGTGCATTCACACCTCTCCGAACGAACCAGACTTTTTAGTCAAATGAACCAGAAATTAAATTTTTAACTATTTTCCCAATTATTTGTTACAGGAGAGCATCAATAAATGTTAGTACATTAGAAAATGTAGCTAAATGCAGTTACTGTGTGCAGTTTAGTCATATAAGGAAAGTCCTGAAGATGCCTATTTCCAATGGGAATGTTTTTCAAGAATTTAATTGTTTGTGGCGCTATGAATGCTGTGCCAAGCAGTGACATCCATACAGTTACCAAATAATGTAAACAAGAGTTTTTGTCATGTTTTCTACTGTTGGCACAAAACGTCATGACAAAATTCAAACTACATATCCCCAGTCCCATAGGTCAATTAATAAGCGATTAGTTGACCCATAAGGCCCATAAGAACTCCAGGATATTATTTAGCAAAAAGAGGACAACAAATAATGCCTCACTTTACAGAATATTTTTTGTCTTAAAACAAGAATTAAAAAATGCAATTAGCTTGTGGTTAAAAGTGACAAAGTCTTGAAAAGATCAAGGAGAATTTAGTTTTGTTCAAGGCTCCTTATGTATTTCGATTCTTTTTTCCTTTTTTGTCCGTGTTGTGTCTGCACTCGCTGTGCTGTGGTGATGTCACTCTCCAGCCTCTCTCTCTCTCTCTTTCCTCCCCACTTCCCTCCACCTGTTTCTTCCTCTCCCGGGTATCCTGACTCCTCTCCACCTCCATCTCTGCCTCGTTGTCAAGTGGTGACTCACTGAAGGCGCGCAGCCAAGGATTTGGCTAGCCCGCACACACACACAAACACATAAACACACGCGCGTGCTTGCGCACTCGCTCCACCCGCATCCGAAATCATGCCAAGAGTGCAGCGTGCAGGCCACATGCTGCACGTACTGCATTGGCACGCACACACAGAGGGACTGTTGAGGGGCCAAAGCTGTGAGAGACGGGTAGATGCACTGTCACACACACGCGCGATGCTCCGTCAGCCAAGTGAAAAGCCCCAAACCGTCTGAGTCACATCCAGTGGAGCAGAAACGGAAAAGTAAATCCGCCAGCACTCACACATACAGTGTCTGTTCTGACACCCAGCGATGATTTTACAGCTTCCTTGTGGATTTGTTTCTCTCCAGTTCAGACTTTACTGCATCCGGTGTTTATTCCCCTGAAACTCACTGGAATAAACAATAAACATTGCTCGTGGTTTGGTAGCTCTAGAAACATTGTATTTAGCTGTAGGAGATCAGTTTTGTGTGTGAAAATCCCTTGAAAAATTAGGCATTTAAAGGGGAAAAAAAAAGCATCTCTCTTCTATTGAAAGATAAACATGTACTGCAATTTGATTTGAATTTGAATTCATACTCGTAATTGTATTTTTAATACATTTACAGTTTTTGTTATTCTACCATTTGGTTCCAACCTAAAAAAAAAAAAAAAAAAAAAAACAAAAACTTTGGCAGCTGCTTTATTTTTTCCCCTAAATTCGGGAAAGAG